CCCAGACAACAGTGAAATATCAGTAAAGTCTCAAAAATCGATTGAAACGGCTGAGTTTGCAAAAACAGTATAATCAACAGGACTGAGTTCAAGTAGTATATCAAATGGTGAGGAAAGAGTGATAAAAATCCCCGGAGGGGTTCAAATAATTGGCACGAAGCCCAAGTATGGCAATCAGCCCAAATCATGATAATATCAAATAAGTTTCAGTCAAATACGCGGTAAAATCAATAACCGGGATGGACCAAGTCACAATCCCCAACGGTGCTCTACCCCACGCTCGCTATCCGGCGTGCAAGTCACCTCAATATAGCACTACGGTGTGCAAATCCGGGGTTTCAAACCCTCAGGATATCATTTACAATCATTACTCACCTCGAACCGGTGAAATCTCTAGCTCGCGACGCCTTTGCCCCTCAAATCGGCCTCCACGCGCGTCGAATCTAACCAAAATCAGAGCGAATACATCACAATATGCTAAGGGAACAATACCCAATCAAAAACAATCGAAAAATAGCAAAAATCTCGAAACTAGCAAAACCCGAGCCCCGGGCCCACTTCTCGTAAAATCAGAAAATTCACATCAATGGATTCCTCATCTCGCCACGTGTCTATACATATCAAATTTACCAAAATCCGAGCTCAAATGCTCCCTCAAATCCCAAATTTAAATCTCAAAATCCCATGCCCTAGTTCATCTATTTTAGGCTTAATTCCATGGATTTCTAGGTGGATTTCACAATAAAAACGAGTATGGAGTCCAAAAATCTTACCTCCAAATCATTCTCTTCGAATCCCTCTTCAATTTCTCCCAAGGAGCTCTCAAAATGATCAACAATGGAGGAAAAATGACTAAAACTCGCGGATGAAATATTCAATAAAAACCCTTCTGTCCAGGTCACTTTACTCTATGCGAACGCGGTCAACGCCCCGCGTCTGCAATGACCAAAAACCCATTGACCAAAATTACCCTTCGCGAACACGGTGACCAACCCGCGAACGCGAACCTTCAGGAGCCTCAACTACACGAACGCGTCCCCAGGCACGCGAACGCGATGAACAAATACTCAGGGCCCAACTTCCTTCTACGCGATCGCGATGCTTCCACTCCCAGAACTACGCGAACGCGACCATGAAGATGCGAACGCAAAGATCAAATTTCAGGCCACCCAAATTCCCTCTACGCATTCGCGACTCACCCATGCGAACGCGAAGAGCAATTTTTCTGCAACACCAACAACTGAAACCTGCAATCATTTGAGTCCAAAAATGGTCCGATTGACCCTCTGAAACCACCCCGAGGCCCCCGGGACCTCAACCAAAAGCACCAACCCATCCTAAAACATTATTCAAACTTGCTCCAATCATCAAAACACATCAAACAACGCTAAAACTATTAAATCACATCGGATTCAAGCCTAAGTTTCTTCAAAACTTCCGAAATACGCATTTGATCAAAAACCCGACCAAAACACCTCCGAATGACCTGAAATTTTGCACACACATCCTAAATCACCTAACGAAGCTACTGCAACTCTCGGAATTCCATTCCGACCCTTGGATCAAAATTTCACCTATCAACCGGAAGTCGCCAAAATGCTAACTTCGCCAATTCAAGCCTAATTCCACACCGGACCTCCAAAATAAAATCCCATCACACTCCTAAGTCACAAATCCTCCCCCGAAGCTACTCGAACCACCGGAAATCGCATCCGAACCCTCTAACTCAATAGTCAACATCCGGTTGACTTTTCCAAAGCAAGCCTTCCTTAAAGAGACTAAGTGTCTCATTTTCTACCAAGACCAATCCAAATCAACTCTAACACACCAATTACTGATAATGAAACATGAAGAAGCATAAAATGGGGAAACGGGGCAGTAACTCCTGAGACGACGGGTCGGGTCGTCACATCAACATAATTCGGTCCTTCTAACTTGTTTTGGTTCAAAATTGAGGTAAGTAGGTTGAATGAAGACATGGTTAATCTGAGAGATATTCACATTAAATTAGATCATTAGTTATGTATTTAGAATAATTAAATTCAAAACAACACATTACACATATAACCATGCTCATTGAAAAGTTAGATTCGTTAGGGAAACTTAATTATTCATGCAAAATATATGAGTGATGTAAGATATTGACCCCATAAATTTAAACAGGATCAACTCAGATGGAGAGTAAACTGTTAATTTAAGATAGGTAAATATCACTTCTATAAACTCTAGTTTCATTGAATTAACATGTAACTCAGTTGGAGAGTTAATACAAGTAATCAAATAATTAGAGGCAAAACTACACTAATCATCTATAATGAATTTATCCGATGTGGAAGAAGACATATGTCAACATATAAATTCATTATATTACTGTAAAACATGATTTGAAACAATGGTAATTGAACCCTACCATCACAGATTGCTTTTAAAAAAGTTTCTTTTATTAAAATTTTTTCCAGAAAATAGAAATATGGCCAAAAACCCATCTATGAACCTACCAAATTTGATGTCAATCGGAGTTCGATAGAATTTCAGAATTCTAAAATCAAGACCTATTTCTAGAATTTTGTTTTTTGCGTTTTTAAGAGTTTTTATTATTTTGACTTGTTCAAATCACATAATATACTGATGTATGTTAAAACATGATTTCAGAACTCAAAATAATATTTTTTATTTTTATTTAATAAAAACGTGTTTAGACAAAATTGTAAAAAAAAAACAGTATGTTTTTCACTATTCAAAAACGCCACTGTTCATAATTCTATATGTTAATCCAAAATTACAGAACTCTTATCATACAAAACAGTCAAGTTTTTATTAATATATCACTGTGATTATGTACAAAATCCAACTAAAACAGATAAATGGAATTAATTCACTGTTTATGCATATGTATATTAACCCATAATTACAGAATTAATAGCATTCAAAAACAGTCACGTTTTTATTAAAAGACAGATTGCTCTTGATCAAAAAACATAATTAAACAGACTGTCATTAAATATAACACCACTGTTTATACACGTGTATATTACTTCATAATTTCAAAATTACAGAATTAAGATACTAATAAATACAATCACGTTTTTGACATAGAATAATCATACCAAACATGTATAAATAAACAACACGTTTTATTATTACTCTATTCATGCTGTATTACATTATCTAGTTAGATGTAAGATGGCGTCTGATACCAATTGTTAGAACATGCGCAGCGGAAGCAAGCAAACAATCCAGGCATCAAATACATGTAAACTAGACAACGCAATAATCACAAGATTAGAAGCAATAACCTCTTGAAATAGTTGCACAAATCTTCCAAACAACAAAAATCCAGGGCTGCAGTCTTCCTTTTGCTTTTGGGTGGGCAAGAACAATACAACTCTAAAGTGAGTTATTGGGTGGAATTAGTCTTCCTTTAATAGAGTTATTTTGGCCGAAAATACTCCTACAAAAACGTGTAGGATTCTGCCTTTTTTTAAATAGAATCCTACTCCAACTCTACTAGATGACTTTTCTCCCAAGTCACTTTTTACTCATGTCTTGTCCAGATTTTTACTAGGTGTAGCAGGGACCACAGAAATAATAAGAGGCTACCAATTATAGCATTAATTCGAAATTAACATGAATTAATTCTTACTATAATTAATTACAATTGATTCCACTAAAAAACTGCAATCGAACTCCTCAATATGAATTTCGAAAATTCAACAACACTTATTTTAACTCCCCATGTTAAGATCTCAAATACCAGTTAATTAAATTAAATCACTAAAAATTTAATTTAATCAACTAACTAAATCCTTTACAATCCCGCTTAAATTATTTCATGTGACGGATGCAAAATCCACCGGCCGAGTTTTCACATGAAAACTTATAAGCTTACATAAAGGGGTATCATCAAACTCAAAACCGAGTCATGGATTCTATCAACTAATTATTATTCACAAATGTTATTCGTTATTGTCCAATCTATTAGGCATACACTAACTGTAAATAGAGTTGTACCTTTTGATAATTCAAAAGGGGTATCATCAAACTCAAAACTGAGTCATGGATTCTATCAACTAAATATTATTCACAAATGTTATTCGTTATTGTCCAATCTATTAGGCGTAACTCTAAATAGAGTCGTACCTTTTGATAATTCAAAACAATTAACAAATTAAATTGATCATAATAATTATATCAAGATTAGGAGTATAAGCTCATTTAATGAATTAGAGAAAATGTTTTATATATTCAGTATAAAAACATCTTTTCTCTACTTGGTCCGTTCAATATACACTGAGTATACTAGCACAAGAAGTTGGAGTAAAACTACTCCCATAATCAAGACAAATTATATTATAATCTTGTGTTACAATCATCAAGATATTTTGTCCAACAATATCTTTAATTGTGAACATAGTTTATTAATTATGAGAACCAACAATTTAATCTTCTGTGCATGAGCTAAGACTCCATACACTAAATTGTCTACTACATAACTAAAAGGACACACATGTAACAAATGATCTATTTAAAATAGTACTTTATTGAATTGAATAAATTAAATAAATAATTCTTCCATAAAGAATAAAATATAATACTATGTGTAAACGCATGATTAATAGTATATCTCAACAGATAAAGCAGTAAAAAGTAAGGCTTAGAAATATTATCGATCACGCCTACTTTAAAGGTCATTGCATTCTCAAAACTTAGTAAAATCTCAATTACCTTCGAATATGTTTCACATACCAACCATTTGGATTTCCAAGGATTGGTTTCTTTTAATTCAACTTTCTAAATATACCAAATTTCTTGCTAAACAAGAGGAATTATGGTGGATGTCTTGTTCTTATCCAGAATTTTAAAGGTTTAATTTTGAAAATGTAGTTGATATATCTTTTAAAGATTCCGAAATCTAAGTGCAAATTGATCCACATATCCGTTAACCTAAAAATAAATTCCAATGTAACAGTCAAAACCATATATGCAAAATAATTAAGAAAGAGTAACACGTTCTTCATTTTCCATTTTCATAAGAATAGTCATCGTGAAAACTAAGAACACATATATATATATATATATGCATGCATTTCTTGAATACCCTAGACGCCTTTTCCTTGAAGGCGGATAATTAAATTTAACCCTTATATCATTAATTTTACCTGCAGTTCCTAAAAATAGAGACAAATTTAGTAGCCAAATTCTCCTCCTCTTTTAGGGCCTTTGTTATACCCCCTATAATAAAGAATAAGTTTATGAATCTACAAATTTTCAATTCCTAAGCATGCAACTATTCATTCAATATCTTGTTTGATCGATTAGTAATCCTCACTCTTCATCCCCTCAAATTGCATTTTACCATCTTTTTTTCGGTTTGCGTTATCCTAAATTGACTAGTTTTACGTTGGCTTATCAACTTCTCTCGTAAACCGTGCCGACCGTAACTTATTTGGAATTATATTGTGGTAGAGTTGGTGTTGTTCTTGTTGTTATTTTTTTAACCTTTCTTGCAAAATTCACAAAAATGGGTGGTGAAGTATCTAAGATAAATGCTACACCAACTAGGGTACCCCCAAAATTCCTATATCGCTTAGATGATATAAGAAAAAAAAGGCGTATCAACAGACGAACATCCAAACAGTCTACATCTTTTAAGAAAGAATTGCTTTCTGATCAAGTCCTAGACGAGTATGAGAAAGAAAGCCTAAGAAAAGAGGAGTCTGTTTATAAGGATATGAAAAAAGTAGAAGCAGAAAAGGAAAGGGTAGCAAAATTGATAGAAGCAATTGTTGAGGAAGAAGAAGAAGGGGATCTTGGAAATGTTGAAGATGAAGATAATGACAATTATAAAGATGATGAGAGGGTGATTAAGCGTCATGTTGAGGAGGATAATTGTCCTGGTTCACCAAGTTTTAGAGTTTACTTCACAAATAACAATGTTGAAAACAAGAAGAATGAAGTTAATATTGGTATGTTTTCTTTCAGTAATTATCAAGAGGTAGCAACCATAAAACTGTAGTTACCAATAGAAATATCATTACATATGATACTTAAATGTATATATGTACGGATCATTTGCCAGTTGACAAATTAAAATTTTCCAAACTGCGACGAGGAGAAAAGCTTAATAGACTCTCCTAGACCAACCTTAGAATTTGTATTTCGTGATTCATGATTTAAATAGTATTACACAGTCTATTTACTTAAAAGATTATTCCAAATAAATCTATTTAATAACATTGATTTGTATCCTAGAAAAAAAATGAGAATTGACCTGTTAAAGAAAGTTAAATTACATTGATGATGTCAAAAGTTAATTCTAAGGTCAGTGTATATAACTATAATTTTTTTTCTTTTTACCATTTAATGTGTCATGCAGGTAAGAAGAATGTATTTAAGGACACAACCCCAATTGCAGCTACCACACCAATTGTCCCTATGGTTGCTACCATACAACCATTAACAAAGGTAAGCATATGATTCTTTCTGTCAATTATAGATGGTTTGGAATATTATCTTCCTCAGTATATACACAAACCAGAGATGGAGCCCCTTTTTTTCATTTTCCAATTTTTTCATTTCTGAAAGGACATAAGCTGACCATAACTAAGAAGTCCAATTGAGAATGTGTGCACATTGACGATATTCCACTTCCATAAAATTAGTGAGAGGTGGTTTGGTACACATTAAAATAGAGAGCTATGGAAAACATTACTAATTGTTGTGTTAAAACAGGTAATCTATCAATATGTAGAGTTGAATGAAACTTTTCATTTCTTATGACAGACAGATTTTTTTAAACTATTAGTTAAAAGCTGCAGAATTATCCAGTTTATTCTGAGTCAGTTTTTTCTTCTAGGGAAGTTAATGGACCCACACTGAGGCATGCATCTAACGAAAAAATATTTCGTTAAAGATCAAAGTTGCACAACAACTGGAATAGCGAAACATATACAGAACCAACATCATTTGGCATATAACAAACCAAAAAGATTGATTAGAAGTAAATATGTTTCACATTTCATACAGGAGCCCGTGATCAAGGAGGGGCCGAAGAAAGAAAGGAAGAGGAAGAGTTTTAGAAGAGCTCTGCCTAAGAATCTGTTGAACGTTCGATCATGTTGCTCTGCAGCTCATTCCTCCCCCGACCGTGCCCATCTTCTTCCTGGAAAAGCACCAGCTTGATCACACCACCAGAATTATTGCTTCAAAATTATCCATCACTATTTGTTGGCTATGTCTAATGGTCAACAGGATGTATACGAAAGTTTAGTGAATTTAATGGTAGCTAGTGCACTGTGATTAAGAACTCAGATCAAATAATAGACAAATGAAGAGTATGGATATACTGGTACAAAATGTTTCTTTCCCCTATCTTTACCCATATGCTCAATTCTTCAAGAAAGTTATTAGTTCCTTCTATTTTTTTCGAGTGACAAGGCGATGCATGCACTGCCTTAGGTGTGAGCCAAGATTTTGTTTAATTGATCAGGAGCAATTTGAATTACTGCATACTGGTTTCATATCAGGCAGTTTTTCTTTTCTAGAATGAGATTCCTAGTTTCAGCTTGTTGCTCAAGACCAAATTTTTTAATGGCTCCTCAACGCGCGCATGAGCGAGCGACCGCGCGCGCACACACACTACATTATGGTAGATAAGCATGCAAACTAAGAGAATAATTTTAATTACTATAGAACTGAACAAAGATGCAGAGTGAGGACCAATCTCAAGAACATGGAAATGAGGAATAAAGCTTTTCAGCAATTGTATCCCTTAAGTGCAAATTTAGTAAATTACACAGGAAACCTTAGAGCAGCAAAATACAAAACAAAACGCATTAAAAAATAGAAAGGAGAACTCTCGCCCGATCAGAAAGCAACAGAAATCCCATTTGGCATCTACTGAGGGCAACACCAACCAAAACACTCTCCTAACCATTCACAACAATGTCTCCCTGCCTGCACAAATAGAAGATTTCAGGTTAGTTAATCTTTTGATGTATCTCCATCCACCTGTGAATTAGTAACCACCTCAAATAACTATACCATAAAAAGGACAAATGCATAAGGAAAAGCGAGTTAAGCAGATGATCAAGCTTTAACATCTTTAACGACAACTTTCAAGATTAAGTTTGAGCGTAAATGGGTACATCCCTTTAACTTCATAGATTGTTCCTCTCCGCCAATCTTCACGATATAACTAATAAATGGCCTGAATATAAGAGAATCCATCTGTGCTCCCTGTAAAAAGAATGTTGCACTTACGATATAACTAATAAATGGCCTGAATATAAGAGAATCCATCTGTGCTCCCTGTAAAAAGAATGTTGCACTTACCCCTGCAGAGAAGCAATTTCCCACCAAAGCCAAAGAAAAAAACCCCTCCACTTATTTGACAAAGATAATAATGGAAGTCATATAGCACAGCAAGTCAGGTCAATAAAAGGAAATATAGAGCCAGACGAAATTGCAGATCTCATTTCAGCTTAGGATCCATCACAACAAAAGACGAGGCAATCCAAAAATATCAATAAACTGTGATTTATGTTGGCTAGCAAGATAATAATTATCCACTACAAGACCAAATTATGTCAAAAGTAGTACTCCCTCCGTCTAAAATTATCTGTCATGTTTCAACATTAATTATTATAATCTTTTTTTATTGAATATCTACTCTATTTACATGCTATCTCTATATTCAAGAACAATTACTATTAAGGGTTAATGGGATTTTGTCTTGAATTTCTTAAATGACAAATAATTTGAGACAACTATTTTTAGAACTACGACCGATAATGTGAGACGGAGGCAGTATATTTCAGGAAATGACGAAAAAGCAAAACAAAAATTTTACAAAGCCATCAAGGGGTGCATAATGAGTGGATTTTTGTATCCAATAAATACCTATTCGGAAGTGAAGGCAGCAGAAAGGAATTCTTCATCCTCCAAAAAAATTTGCAGATTCTTTGTTTTCATTAAGAACCCAACAGCAGCCTCATCGAATTCCAGGATGAATCCCAACGTGATCAATTCAGCCAGTTGATGCACATAATCTTCTTTCTCCCTTAGAATTCCCTCGGCAACTACTTCTGAGAAATATGTAGCAAACTCGAGCTTACATCTGTAACCACCAGATTTGTCCAGCTTCTGTATAAAGATCTTTGCATTTTCTCTTTCCCAGCACATCATTCGGCTCACTTTCACGTTCAGGGCATCACCAGAAGAAAGTGACAGACTGTAATCCATGGTTATTGGTTCCAATGTCACAAAAATACTAACATCCATGAGGCTTTTGAGAGCTTCATGCCTCGTATGCGCTTCCATTTGAAGTGAAGGTTCAGCAAGGAAGCCAAGGATTAACTTAAACAAACCCTTTCCGATGAAGATTTCCTTCGGCTGCACCTGCTCAAGTCCAACACAATTAACAGAAGACAAGCCATTTTTCAGAACAGATTCAGACAAATTACGAACACCAATTAAGCCATAAATTTCAAGCAGCTTCTGCCGAGGCAAAGATGGCAAACTTGGTTGTGGATACCAAACGAACAAGGGATGAGAAGAAGACTGTTCAAATAAATCCTTCAGATAGAGATCATCAGCAATAAAAACATCACGTTTATCAAGCACCAAAATTTCGTTCGAGCCTGAACCCACGGGTAGTTTTGACAAGTTCTCAGATAGAAATTTCTCGGTTCTTGAGCTCCAGTGCTTCACAATGAACTCCCAGAAGGTTTGACACTCTGATTGTGACAAACTGCAGTCCGCGTCTTCCCATGACTTCCAAAGCTTGAGAAAATCATCAAGAGAAGGATTGCTTTTGACACCTAATTTGGAGAAGAAACTGAGCAGTTCTTTGTCATAGTGCTTTTCTAAAACATGCAACTGCAGGCCAAAGAAACCACTTTTGTCGTGCNGAACACAATCATCAGGATTCACCCACTCTCCATCATTATCACCATTGGGAATCCATATGTTTCTAGGATCTTCTTTAGTTGGTTCCCAGTTGAACTTACTCAAGTACTTGCAAATCCGAGTGATAGTGACGCTGCAGGAGTGGCAATCAAGGTAATCGGCAAGCAATGAGCATCCATCTCGAATTTCAACCACAACACCAAGAGACTTCAGCTCATTCTTATATGACCCAATGTCAGAGCCATAAAATTTATCATCGATGAAAGGACCATCTTCTGGCTGTAAGAGAGGATTCCACTGGGGACCAAACAACAAACACTTATCAGGAGACCTGTAACCAGCACTAGTCTTCATCCATTTTCTAGCAAGTTTTGACCGCAACGTAGCAATTTGATCAGCATTATGCCCCATCTCCAACTTCCGCAAGCAGTCTAACAACGAGAATGCAACTGGAACAGTAATGACGCTAGGGTCTTCAGGTAAATGAAGGCTTTCAGGCACAAACTTTACCCCACTTNCTCTATCAACACCAATTCGAGTGCGCAACCACTTGACCTCGTGAAAGCAGCTCTTGAGCTCTGAAGGAAATTTAAAGCTGGCTGCCTTCAGCTTTCTGTAGCATGCAAGAAGAGAAAGGGCACTATCCTTGTTTAAGGCACCCTTCGCTGTCTGCTGCCTAAAAAGAGAAGCAAAAGCTTTAGTTGCCTCCTCAAAATTAACAGCCACCCCTAGTTTCTGCAACTCGCTTTTATATGACAAGATATCGCTTCCATAGAAGTTTGTATCAATAAGAGGGAAACTGCCAAAAACCTGCAGCAGGCAGCCCCACAGAGGATCAAGCAAAAAACATTCAGCTGGAGATTTGCAACCCATGTTTACGGTCTTCACACATTTGCTATCCCTAAGTGCCCTGCATATTTTATCAGATGAACTCAAATGGTGAATGCACTTAAGAATCATGAGCAAAGCATCAGAACTCAGGCAACCTAGGCGTGCTGGAGACCTCAGGTTGTCAACAACAAGCTGGTAATTTTGCTTGAAATCAAAAACCACTCCAAGCAGCTCCAGTTCTGTTCTAAAAGAAAGAATCTCATCACCATAATGCTTTTGGTCAATGAAAGGGATGTCACTGATATGTGAGGCAGCATTCCACTCGCTGTCAAAGAAAACAGATTCCAGCGGGCTCTTATCACCTTGAGTAGTCCGCAACCACCTTCTATCATTAATGCTATTGATGAAGGTGTCTGGGGAGAGATATTTCTCCCTCAAATACTTGATGAAATTGAGTATTGACATCACTTGGCCTTTGGTTAAAGTAGAATGAGTTGCCAGAGACATAAAATGTTCTCCAATATATGTACATGCCTCTTTAAATTCAAACATGACACCAGCTGTACTTAACTCGTCCTTGTACTGTATTAGTTCACTGCCATAAAATCCCTGATCAACTAATGGAATATCTACAAGAACTGATCCATTCTGCAAAAGATGTCCCCATGATGAAGTATGGAAGAATGATTTTGATGGAGGCCTGTAGCCTGGGCAACCACTCAGAGATACCCTCAACCAGCTTCCCTCCCTTATGCAGGTTAAGAATCTTCTAGGCAAGGAAAACACATTCATTTTCATTTTACGAATCCATGCTAGCATCAGCAATGCATTTTCCTTGGTTAGTGGAGAAGACAAGCTGGAAATTGCTGCATCAGGAGGAGGTAAGTCAGGAATGTCCATAGCTGCAACATAAATTTTGAGAAATCCCAGAAGCTCTTTGTTGCTGGTACAAACTCCAGCATAGCTGCCGGAATGCAAATAATCTTCTCCAAGCTCAACATAGCCTTCATATCTCCACGGGTTTGAACCAATCAGCTGCACCCATTTACTTCCATTAGCAGGCACAAGGACCCCTTTCCTTTGCCTGGCAACATGTCCATAGTTATCAACAAGCGGCATTTTACTACTTAGAGTAGCAACTTGTTCTTTAGATAAATAATTTCTCGCAAGGGACTGATGTAAGAAGTGGCAAAAAGCCACGGCAAGTTTTTGATCATCACTGAGTGAGTTAAGAACCAGAAGAGCATAATCATACACATTTACAGAGCTCACCTTGACCTCATCTCTAAGCCAATCCAAAACAGTCTGCCAGTTAGAAAGACTCCGGACTGCTTCTTGTGTTGATTTGGCAAAGAAAAGATGATTGGAAAAACGAAATTCTGAGTTCCAGTTGATCAGCCAAGAGATGTGACCAGACTCCCGAGACAAAAGCAGTGAATAATCACCATTCAATGCCTCATGTATGCTACATAAAGCCACATCATTATCGTCATCAACATATTTCAAAAGTTGTATTTTCATCATCTCAGTTGTCTTGAAAGAAGACAACCATTTCTCAGCCACAAATGATAGAAGTTTTAAGTAAACATCCTCTGAGACACCCAAAACAAGATTGGAACTCTGAATACACTTTGCATACCATTCATTGTCAACTTTTTTCACCTCCAAAAAGTTTAAAATGTGGTTGTACATCTCCTTATCAAAAGCAGAGTTGACGATGAATCTTCCATGGGACGAGATGTTGTGCAATATGACTCCCTGCTTCCTCGCCTGGTTCAGCAGATCCCAGAAAGCAGGAATCAGCCTACCGACATCATTGGGTTTCTGGAAGAACTGTTGTTCCATGTATGATTCGCATGGAATGATACTTTCATCCAGCAGTTTTCTTTTAATAGAATCTCTCACGTCGTTAAGAATTGGATAAGGAGATGCGTTGACTGGTAAAAAGCGAAACATATGAGTAAGAGTAGAAACTGGAGCACCTTCATTAGCTCTCACAAGCAATGTGAAAGCACTGACAAAAGCAGAAGGGACGCAGTCAAGAATGCCCCGGTTCCATATGTCATCAAGAAGGATTGTCTCCCTTGATGATGCTAGAAGAAAGTCAGCCTGAATTATGAAAGGGAAGTTTGTGACCATATCCGTGGGAAGAAAAGCATAAATCCCGGGGGAGCTGGTTCCCCTGTTGAGGCGCTCTCCATTGGGAAAAGCTAGAGTGATCACCCACTCATCGACATCCATTCTTCTATCCACCCTGTGCTCCCGCCTAACAGGAAATTTCTGTTTCCACATGTAGTAACTGCATTCCCCAATAACAGATTTTTCATCAGCTGAGAGATGGAGCATGTAGGATTCAGCATCAATGTTCTTCTTCTTAACAAAATCGGTCTCACTTGAAATTGAAATAGCACTAACTGTATTAAGGCTGGGATCCTCATTGTCTTCCCTGACAGAAAGCTTCTTTATCTTTGAAAGAAAGAGAAGAACTTCAGGATGGATGCTTGAAAGCTGCTGCTTAACAGGTTTCACCTTGTCAGGTTTCAGTGGTAGCACTATAGTTGTGGCTGGAAGGGTAGCAGAAGACCCATAGATTTGTTGTATAACTGAAAGAGTTGGGTTTGCCTCCACCCATTCAGGTACAATATAGCCTACATTGCAGTGCTGGCAAGGTTCCTCGCTGAATCGTATCTGGTACCCATTGCTGAAGATGTAGGGCTGCGCAGTGATGAGAAACACACTCTTGAAGCCAATGCCTGAGAGAAGAAACACACCAAGAAGTTTTAGAAACAAATTACAACTACAGATGAGATATACGCACCTTCAATTAAGTAAGAATAACACAAGAAGATCAGCCAAATGCAAATGCATTACACTGCCGGGAATCGATCAAGTATAGAAAGACCGATTTTCTGTTTCAAATGCTAATGTAATATAAAATGAAGAAGCAGCACAAGGACAGGCAGGTATAAAATAAATGAGAACGAACATGACTTATTTAAGTTAAAACGAATACATTTTAAGCTAGTATCTGACGGGAGAAAATTGTATGCTCTTCTGTTTGCAAAAATCATGTTTGCAGTCTCTTCTGAGTGCATACATCCAAACATTGGAGTGTCAGATTTTACAGATGGGAGAATAACACAAAGCAGAACTATCACCTGCATCTCAATGCTGGGATGTAAACTGAAATATAATGTTTGTAGACATATCTTTTAGGCACCAAAAAGAGGGAAGATGAGGTTAAAACGAAACAAACCTAATATTATCTAGAAAAGATGCCATTGATCCACTTATCAAAATAATAATAAGATATCATTGTTACTCTTTTTTAGTGTAGAGGAAAGAGGGGGAAAATGTGATAAGGTAGAGGAAGAGAAAAGAAATATAGCACTTCATTGCAATGAAAGCAAGGTCTTACTTTTTATCAGCTTACAACCCAGTTAGTTTATTTTTTAAGAACAACCCAGTTCTCTTTTCAAACAGACATGGTTCAACTGATTATTTGGATTTCAATTATCGAAGTCACAACATGAAAGCAATTATCTCTCAAAAATAATTTTTTGGTCAGTCAAGCTCAAAATGTAGGGGGAATGAAATCAGTTAATTCACAAAGTCTCAATCCCATACAAGTTAGGTTCAGCTTAATATTCCATCTGCTCTATTCAGGCCGATCTCATTCCCATACAACAAAATAGTCTCCTAAAACAAATTAGGAATTCTCTACAACTATTAAGTTCTCTAAGCATAAAGGCAACCAGCAGGTATGACAAAGAGCAGCAGCACTTCAAAATTTTCAGTAATTAAACTAGTAAAAGCAAATACAGCCCGAGCCAAAAATACACAAAAATGAACACACGATCATATATCAAAATTTAGGAACAACCAATTATTTATTACCTTTCTCGCCGATGTAGCCACGTTTGCGATTGCCCTTCTTAGTAGAACGTCCGACGCTGCAAATGGACTCGATATTTTTGCGGGAGAATCCTTTCTCGTTATTGAAGATTAAAAGCGTCGCCTGAGCTCCGGTGTCCGTTATATCTTTGGAAGTAATCACAAATTCCAGTGAGGGGTCCACGCCTTCGTGGTACTCGTTATCCTCCGCGTTCTGCAGTTACGAATTACAACTATTTATTAGTTATACGGATTAAATATTATATTATGTATATAAGATTAAATTTTATTTTTATGTCTATAAATTAGATGATAAACCCCCCTGAACACGTGCGAATACGGGTATATAGCTAAACTTTTTACTATTTATATATATTAAAATAATAAATAAAACAGAAATACAAGATAAAAGCATTAAAAGTGACACCACTTGTAACAAAACAGTTCAATAGTTTAGTGGTTGACAATTTCAAGTTTGATGCAAGAGGTTTTGGGTTCGAACAAAATAAGGAAATGCTAAAATTGGAAAAGCGAGGATTTTTGTTAGGGGCTATAAGTAAACATTTAAAAATATTTTATTAAAATGAGCATGGTTTTTTCAAAAATATAATGCTTGCTTCACTCTAACGTTGTTAACCTTTCTCAAAACTTATTGCAATCCAAACATCTTCATACTTTATACGACTAGCTACATTTAGCCAAACAAAAACTAATTAACAAAATGATTTCTTAAAACAAAACCATATTTTATACGAAATTTTCGTGTAAGGATAGATTTTCATTGTACCGGATACACCATTTTCTCCTCTCCTTTTTTCCGACAACCCTTTTGAGATACCTTGATGTTTAAAATTTGTTTTCAACAATAAAATTATATTTTTGATTGATGAGAAGCAAATGTAATTTTAATCAATATATAAACATTGTTATTAACTTGTAATGCCTAAGGCATCGCCAAACATTATGTCCATGTACAATTTTATTACATACTTTGGAAAACTTTTTGCTGGTAATTACAAGTGCATCATATTAGTAGAGCCACAGACGTTTATACCGATGGATGGAAGAAGATATATATATATATGGCGAGTAGAATGCAGAGAGATAGAGAAAAACCTGAACAAGTTCCATGAAAAAGTGAACATCCTTAGCGTAAAGTTCAGCAGAGAGATTTTTGACAGCTTGATGAAGGTCCTCAGTGAGTGGATTAGTTTCACCTCCAATGGAGAACTTGCTTCTCCTTATTTCTTCAATGTGCTCTTTTGCCGTCGCCATTGTCGATCGTTTGATCACTCACTTCTCACCCAACTCAAATAAAATGTGATTCTTCTTTCTTCTAGCAGAGAGAAACAGAGAAATATTAGCAGTACATGAGAGGTTGTGTCTCAACTTTGAGGAATTTATAGAGCGGTAGCGAGTAGATGGAAAGTTTTGAACTGGTTGAAAACCCACTGCATGAAGGAAGCTCATCGACTCTTGGGGCTCTGTGACACGTTTGTGCTGCTTTTTTTACCATATTCATTTTTTTATTTCTTGAAGCAAGGGTAATATTTATCGCAATTGATTTTACCTTTTACCAAAAGTAAAATTTAATCTTTTTATATGTGGCTAATCTTTTTTCTCGACGGTTTTGGACTTATTTGTTGAAGATTCTTCTTTCTCGTTTAGTAGCATACACAATGTAGTCATAATGAAGTCTCGTTTAGGGGGAGAATTTTTTAGACAAGTATTAGTCTGCTACTTGTGTGTGTCTCGCTTTATAATGTTGTTCTCTCGATATTTTATACTCTCTTTTATATAGTGGGTTGTTTTATCTCCGCTTGTAGACGTAGGCTAATTAACCGAATCACGTTAAATGTTTATATCTCTTTGGTATATTTCTCTTTTATTGTCTAATTTATCGTTGTTAAAGATATATTTTGTTAGCTTCCGCATAACACCTGATTATTCCGGTCCTAACAATATCGGGTGGATTACTTTTCGAAATTTGGTGGTCTTTACAAGTGATTGTTGTAATACTTAATTTCTTAGCTGCGGTTTGGTTTCAAAACAAAGTTTTCTCAAGATTAATCTTGTGATTATAGTCCTGACTATTATCAGGATAGATAATTCTATGTTTTATAGGGTAATTCATGATTTATTATAAATTGTATTCTAGTTTTAATTAATACACGTAATTTATAAACACTAAGAGTCTGGTTGGAAAGTCAACCTGTAATTGGAATTGGTGTAATAACTAGGGCAGTAATTACACAGCTGGGTAATTACGATGACCTGTTTGTTTGTCATAGTGTAATTACAAGTTTACTGTTTGGTTGCACAAGTGTAACTACACAGTTAGATTAAATTTCAAATTAAGTAATTATCAAAACTTAAAAGGTAATATAATAAATATATGCCTATAAATTTTCACAAGTATAAATGATATTATATTTTGTATTTAAGATGTGTATTTTTTCGTGAATATACATTAATTTAATAATCATATATTTATAACTAAGACTGTAAGAATAATATATATATATTTAAATTAATAATATTAGTTTAGATACTTACAAAAATAAAATATACGTTTTGTAAGAACATCATGGAATTCATGTTTGATAAAATAAATTAATATTTACAAATATAATGTCATAACATTATTCAAATGTTTGACAAAACTAATCTATCAATTCTAACTAAAAATGAACAATATGTAATGTCAGCCAATACTACTAAAACAAGTCAATTGAAACAATGAATATAACACAATTTCAAAAGTCAAAAAAAAAATAGTTTAACATATGTCAAATTCTAACATAATAATAGTAAGTTCCAGTGCAACTTAATAATTAGGAAACATGATAAGTTTATAACCACATTCAACAACGAAATTCCACTTTAATTGCATCACTCATTATATGCCAAGTTTGTTAATGACTCATTATTTCTAATATTAGGAGGTGTAGTTTAAAAAAATAGAATAATAAAATAAATAAAACATAAAATACAGTAAGCAATTACATAGAATCACGAGTAAAGATAGAGAAATAAAAGATAAATAATGTACAGAAAAATATTTTCTAAAATTCCAAAAGAAATTAAAAGTAAAAATAAAATTAAAAAAATTAAAATAATAGAAAATAAAAGTTATAAAGAAAATAAATTAAAATAAAAACAAAAAGGAAAGAAACTAAAAAGCAACATTGTAATTACCATCAATTCTCACCTCCCCTTGAAAATTGGAGAGTGTAATTACACTCCTTCAATTACACCCAATTCCATGCTGACCAAGTAATTAATTGGCCAAACAAACATGCCAAACTGTGTAATTACACCCAATTACACCCAAATCCATTTCCAAGGTGGTTTTCCAAACAAGCTCTAAACAAAAAGTTATCTCAAATTTTATATTAAAATAACTTCCCTAATCCCATAACCAAACGACCCCTTATTGTACTTTAATTCTACTTAGATCATGCTGGACAAGAGTCAGTAACTTTAGAACTTCTTTTTCCTCTTTAATAATGATGTATCTCTTCCATATATTCCTAATGAATTTGATTGGAAGTTCAAAAGGTAAAGTCAATTAACTTGTTTCTATTATTTAAAGTCTTAGTAGTTAATTCTTTTTCCAAGAGCGAGTGAAAACGGTATTTTTATCTCAAAAGTATGGCCGAAGATGGAACGAGTAATATTGGTAATATGAACCTGAAATAAAAACATATATGATTATACATTGATGATTATTGATCCCAGTCAATCCTTGCGAGATTAAAATCACACATATCCATTTTTACAAATTTAATATGTTCCAAAAAATGTAAAATAAAAATAATAAATTTAGCTTATGTTCTCTTTTCTCAAATTGGATACATAGAGGTAGGATATTCATGATAAACCGAATCAAACCGACAAAAAAAATGATTGGTTTTTTTTGTTTGATTTGGTTTTAATTTTGAATTTTAACACACACACATATGTGTGTGTAGTTTTATAAAGTTCTTAAAACTTTATGATATATATTAATCATTTATTAGTTGATAGTCTAGTTCTTTACCATTATAATAATTTAATTTTTTGTCTTTAAATTTTAGTTTGATTTGCAGCTTTTTTAAGTCCAAGAATCTAGTAGTTTAATATAAGTTGTCTTTACCTGAGTCCTTAAATTATCCATCACTATTTAATTCAGATAATATCAATATATCTTGGTTAATGAGAAATTTCTTAAAGATTAATTGGTTTGATAGTGTTATGTTGGAATGTAATCGCCGAAATATGTGTTCGGCAGTGTATGTCATATTTAAGGAAAAAACCGGCAAAAGCCAACATAATTGAACCAATGAAAAACTGACTTAATTGGCTTAGTTTGACTTCAGAATCTGAAAAACCGACTTAATTGGTTTAGTGTTTTTAGGTGAAAATCGATCCAAATCGAACCATGAACATCCTACATAGAGGTATTGGTCAGTCCCCATCTACTCTTTGAATTTTTCTATTTTTAATTAGAAGAGTAATCCTGTTTTGCTTTTAATATAGGAGTTTTACCATATACTTTGTGAATATTTTAACTACTCCCATAAGTGGTCTGTGGACATAAACTTGCTATCACAAACGAAATAATGAAATTCGTATATGAAAGTCTAGTTTTATTACTCCATCAGCTTGTATTTTATCACGCGCGAGTTTTACCAGCCTGTTAGTTACATATTAAATTACGATTACATCCCTAGTGTAAACAAAATAAAGCGTGAGTTGCAATCTTCACACATATACTATGTAACTATCTAAAGCGGAAACTTCAATATGAACAACTCTTCGTTCCATTTCATTTGCATTTCACACAGTCAATATGAAAAAGAAAGAAAGAAACTTTGCCTGGAAGGAGGCAAACAGGGAATTAATTAAGAGGAGGACTTGCATGAGACATAATGTGTTAACTTCTTTTCATGTCTTTTTCAACGACTATTGGGAAGGACAATACCATGCTTTTTTCCTTCCTCTTTTTCCCTTAATTAATTGATGTTTTAATTTCCATTTATACTAGAAAACAATACAAAGTAAATGTCAATTTGTTACTTGAAATAACGTTTTAAAATCATCAATCATACACCCAATCCTACTTAAATACAAGCCAAATTGTGACTATAAATCAACACAACTTGTACAAAATTCCCGGGCCACGTGGCCAAATAGCTATGGTCCAAATTCTGTATTTGTCTTAAAATATCTATTGAATAGGTATAAATTATTAATTTAAAACTCATTAACTTGAAAAAATAGAATTCAAGAAAACATCAAATCATCTATCTGCCTCTGCATAATTTTGTGGGTGATACAGGTTAAAGTACAACTTATTGATGATCAGTAATCTATTGTCGAACAAACTATGTGGAGTATAAAATAATGAACGACAATCATTGTGTAGAAATTGGAAGGAAAGAAGCAAGAAATTGGAAAAGCTAATGTCGGCATCAGTTATCTGCGAAATATACTTGCCTTATTAGGGTAATATATGTCATCATCAAACTTGAGAAGCAAGATTTAGAAGACGAGGAATGGTGTGGGGGCGAGGAAATTACAATTTATCTGCGTCGGATTGTTTATATTAAATTAATTCAACTTATTACACTTAAAAAATTTAATAAAGTTAAAATAAATATTGATTAACTATAATTAAGTAAAAATATATTCAAATACGTATCATGCATCCCTTGGTTATATATAAATATATGGTACGAATAATTATTTACAAAAGGTGGAAATGAAGTTGGTACGGAGCATTAATTTTGATCTTTAAACGTTCATTGGTTTATATGGTCTTGGCCAACGAAACTTTTCTTTAATCCTCTTTTTCCAGGAAGTAATGGCACTTAGGAATCATCACATTTGTCGTTCCCTCTAGTCTTTGCATGAGTCCACTCCTCATTATTACTCTCTATATTCGGACTATCTTTTTGGAAAGTGTTCCGATGATTTTAGTTTCATACTATCCTTAAAACAATTTTTATCTGTCGTTTGTTTCACCAAAAAAAAAAACTATTTCTTTTGTAGCAAATAGAAACCTGACTTGTCACGATCCGAAATTCCTATTTTCAGGACCGTGATGATGCTTAACATTTCACTTGCTAGGCAAGCCAACGTTAGAGGATTCCTTAAGCCAATTTTTGTCAATTTCAATAACAAGATCAATTAAGCCAAATAGAAGCAAAAACTGAGTGCGCAATAACATAAAAGCCCATAATATCTAATACAATCCGGATCTGGAGTCACAACTCACGAACTTCTAGAATTTTTACAAACAGGGTCTGAAATAAATATAATTGTTCTGAACGAAAAGAAACAGTAAAATAGAGAAAAATAGGAGGGGACTTCAAGGTCTGCGGACATCAGTAGATCTACCTCGAGTC